CAAGTGTTCCGGAATACCGAACCATGAGTTGTATTTGAAGATTGGAACTTCAGTCATGTTGTTGCGGAACATGGATCATTCTATGGGTTTGTGTAATGGGACACGATTGGTAGTGACAAAGCTATCGACTCACGTTCTTGAGTGTAAGATACTCACAGGAGATCATGCTGGTGATAAGGTGTTGATTCCAAGAATGACCATAACTCCTTCTGATGTTAGAATTCCTTTCAAGTTCCAGCGGCGACAGTTTCCCATTATGGTTTCTTACGCCATGACTATAAACAAGAGTCAGGGACAATCCTTATCTCATGTTGACTTATTTCTTAAGAAACCAGTGTTCAGTCATGACCAGTTATATGTTGTTGTTTCCCGTGTCACTAAACGAAAAAGTTTAAAAATCTTAATTTGTGGCGAAGATGACTTGCCAAAGAATCAAACCAATAATGTTGTATATAGGGAAGTGTTCAATAATATATGATTTTTTCAATTTAATGATATGTTTATATGTCTATTATTATGATCATGATCATTGCCTGCATAACACAATTTATATACAAAATTATTTTTTAAAAACATTCTAGATAATAATATCCCCGTGCATTGCACGGGTGACTACTAGTTTTATACTTAATAAAGTAAAATTCTTATTTAAAATTATTGGGTAATAATAAAATTATTACTGATAAATTAATAAATTTATACATCAAGCTACTATATTATATGAGGTGGAAAATTGAGAGTTTTATTCGAAATAAAAATAATAAAGTTAATTATAAATAGTACATTATTATTTTTGTTTAGAATGAAACTCTCGATTTTCCAAAAAATTAAGAAGATAAGGGTAAATAAAACATTTTTTTAAAATGCAAAACATATAATAATAAGATATTAGTAGTATAACAATACTCTTACATGGTCATTCAAAATTTAATACTTAAAAAAATAATTAAATTTTTTTATTTTAAATTATTAGGTAATAATAAAAACTGATAGATTTAATAACTTTATATATCAAGCCATTTATATGATATGAGTTAGAAATCAATTTCATTGGCGTGCCATGTGGCTAAGCCACAATTTTTTATATGTTTTGCCTGATAAATAAGATCATTTTGGGTCATGTTATTTGGCTTAGTTTTTTTATTTATTGGGAGTATTTAATTTTTCAACTTATTTTTAAAAGGTGTTGATCCCTATATCTTTAGGCAACGTGGCCCATCACTAACCCTCTTATGTATAATTTTGGGATGTTTTTTTTTTTTTAATATTTTTTATTTGTTGCTAGATATTTTTCTATTATCTTGAAAAATTTCCCACCGACCTTAAACGTGAATGACTTTGGATATGAGAAACCACTTTTCTCTTTTCATATCTAAGTTCCTATTCATTTGTTGCCTTTCATCTACTTCCTCCAATCTCATGTCAATTGGTGTATCATAATTTATTTAATTGCAAGTATGTTATCCACTTTCGAAAGAAAAACGTATCGGCTTTAAAATGAAATTGTTTTAAGTAATTTTTTCTCAATGATGAGATGTTATTATAAATTTTTAACACTTTGACAAATATCTCTATCCATTACAAAATAGGTTGGGAGCCCATACATGCTGAAAATTGAGCTAATTGGCGGCCTCTTGTTGTCAAACTAATTACACAAGCAAAACAAATAGTTTGTAAACCACTTCATAAGCCTGGCAGTTGTTACGACAAATTGATCATCACAGAAATAATGTTTGACCTACTATGTTTGGTTTTGAAGACTAAAAGTTATGTTTTCACCGTCTTGCGTGAGATCAATTTTTTGTTGTATATTTTGCTTATTTTATCAATGTTTATAGGTGCGTTTGTGAAAATAAGTCCTTTGACGGTAGTTTTTTTATGCAACTTTGGATCTATTTGTTTTAAAATTTGGGGCAGATCGCCTGAATGCTAGGTCTTTCTCTGTCGCGAGTTGCATTAGGAGAATAAGTAGGCCTTGTGATAATCATTTGGAATGGATGAAGATGATGATTTCGTATCGAGTATCGTCTTCAAATATAAATATTTTGGTATTATGGGTCGGTTGCGTATTGCACAACCAAGAGATTTCTAGTATACAAAATAAATAGATGATCCTACGAGACTCAATATTGATATTAAAAATGATCCACATGATAATGGGCTTATATAAGGATGGGATTGAAGAGTAGTTATCTAAAGAGGACCATAGGTATTATCAGGTTAGAACAGTTCAAATAAAAGTTGTGAAAGACAGCAACATAGAGAATGCCTTTTAGAAGACGAGCATGTAAGCTAGCTTTAGCTAATTATGATTTAGAGAAAATTACTTAGTGCACCTTACATTACCTACTTTATTACACAATTACAAGTCATGTATATATATATTTGCAAAGAAAGTAAACATATATATTGTATTTGCAAACCTACCAGAAATTTAACGTGTGATAAATTTGGTAACAATTATTAAAGAAGTTATTATCAATCAAACAGAATCCACAAATCAAGTGAGTACTCCAATCGTGCTTATCAGTTATCACCCACGTCTCAAACCGCCCACTCTCTTTCGTATTGCTTTCAAAATTTTTCAGCAAACCCTACGAAACTAATAGATGGCGAAAATCAAAATCCCACCAGCGGCTTGACATGAGCGTCGTTGACTGTAGCGAGCATATATCAAAACTTTCAAATGGGAAGTATATGTTGAGTATATGGACAATATATTTTCAGTTTATTGACATTTTATGTGTTATATATTAAAAGATTTTAAGATACATCTGATATGATTTGTTTCAATGTTTATTTGATGTTTATTCATAATTTATTGATCATGATGTTTTTCAACGTTTATACACACTAATCTGAATATTTCACTGTTTATAGTATGCATTTTTTTGATGTTATTTGCAATAAGTAACTTGTTATAATCTGTTTATAAATTATACATATACTTTTATGCCTTTTTTGATGGATTTGTTGTGTATATGTATGGTTTATTTTTTAGTAAAACTGTTTACAAAACATAAAAGTGAAATAAAAAATACGTAAAATAGTTTATCAGAAAATAATTTTAATCAGTTTATGATATGTATATGACATGTTATACACTGAACAAAAATTCAAACATCACAATTGTGGTTAGATAAAAGTACTATGTAAAAAAAAACGCAACATATACCGAATATATTGATTATAAAAAATTATACACGTATGCATTAAGTATATAACACGATTTTGTTATATATATGTGCATGAATGATATATTTGCGGTATACCGGGTTGCAACTCCATAGTTGTTTTCAAGACTGTATATGTTACGTTTATATATTATATATATTTTCCAGCCTTAGTTCATCAATATGGTTTGATTTTGACATAAAAAAAAATTACATTAAACCAGAAAATATATTGTAAATATACATAAGAAAACACGAGATGTAACACAAAAAAGAAACAAAAAACAGAGTTTCAAAAAAAAAATTACCAAGTTTATTTCATATATTTTACGGCCTTAGATCATCAAGATAGAATGATATTCCTGATCGTGTATCTTCTATATCGTTAGAAGATGATTAAGATTGAAATTCAAAATCTATATAATTCAATTTTGAATTGAACAACATCCTAAATATTAGGATATATACACTTATCATAGCTTTTGACATTTTTTTTATCCCAAAAACTAAAATTCATTAGCGTCCACAATTTAAGGAGAGATGATCTTTTTATTTTGGGTACCCGATATCTTGCATTATCACAAATAAATATCATGCAATTGGCAAGGATGCAATAAAAATTTGCCCCTAATTTACCCCTTCGTAGTATTGCAATTAATTTTAAATAGTAGTGTAAATATAAAAGTTTGCCTATGATTTATGCACATACTAATATGAGGCCCTATATAGAAGCACTTAAAACATGATCCAACTCCACATAAAACAGCATTTGTTCAACCATGCTAGTAACCCCATAGCGTGTGCACAACAGACACATACTGAAATTTGCGTGTTGAACCCTACAACTAAAGCCGAAAGGCAATTTTAGCTTGAGACTATTCTGATGAAGGGGTTTCATTCATTTATTGAGAAAGCACTAGTACGTACAAGTACATAAAACATGATCCAACTCCACACAAAACAGCATTTGTTCAACCATGCTAGTAACCCCATAGCGTGTGCACAACAGACACATACTGAAATTTGCGTGTTGAACCCTACAACTAAAGCCGAAAGACAATTTTAGCTTGAGACCATTCTGATGAAGGGGTTTCATTCATTTATTGAGAAAGCACTAGTACGCATCCCGTGCGATGCACGGAACAGAGATATTAAATAGGTTATTTTCACGTACTCTGGCCGTTTAAGTCAAAAAAGCGATACGTTATCATATTTTTTTATACCTCTTTCAATCCGCATTAAGTTTAAAAAAGAAAAGGATTATAATCTATTTTTCACATCTTTTAATCAACGTTGTTTTTTTTAGCCAGAACATTAAATATGAGCATGTTATGACTAGCTTGTAAACTAATTAATAATTATCTCACTAACATATTTATACTAATATAAATTTAATTTTAATATATATATTTATTCCTTGATATAATAGAAATAACAATTTTACTTATTCTTGTTTACCATATAATACTTCATTATTATTTTATTATAAACTTTGTTGTCATATAATGTCATTATTATTTATAGAAGTTATAGAAATTGTACGTCTTCTTTTTCTTTTTATTTAATATAATGAAAAATATTTAATGCACATTAGTATTATTTATTCATGTATCAAATCACGGAAAATCAATCTTGTGATTTATTATAATGGATATTAATGAAATTATTGCAGATATTATAAAATTATTTAAGTAAATAATATTTTTATCATATATGATTTGATCTTATTTAAAAATATGTATATAGAAGCAATTAATGCATATATTTAAAAACTTTCCAAAAATAGATATGTATTAAATGCTCCTAAAAATATTTACTACTATTTTTGGTAAATAATAATTCTTATTATATATATATATATATAGGATGTGGTTCAAATGAAAACCAAGTCTTAGTGTCAGAACCGTGAGAACTGCTATTTTTATTTGGACGTAATGCTATGATTGATTATGTTTGATGCTATTTTTAATCAAAATGAATTTTATTAAAAATAGCAACACATTTTTTGGTAGCACTTGTAAAGATGATTAGCATCATCTAATATGAAAAATAGCATCATACACAATTAAAAATAACATAAAAAACGATTCTCACGATTCTGGACTAGTTTTTATTTGAACCAACCCCTATATATATATATATATATAGATTTCCAGACATACACTGCAGTGTTTCCAATTTGTCTTCGACTGGAAAAGAAAATTACTTCTATAAGAAAGTGTTGTAAATAAATAAAATGAAATAAAGGCAGCATCAACAAGATCTCGTCACTTGTTCATATATGCTCGTCTACGTGCCTCACAAAGACGATATTGTCTCTTTAATGGACTCTTGAACAGCTTTCAAGAGGGAAGGCATCAATTTCTGATTCGTGACAATTATTCCTGTGTCCAGATCGAGATACCGACCCTTTGAGAAGTCCAGTGGTTTTCCAGAGGCATCTGAGGCAACACCTCCAGCTTCTGCAAAAAAACAAAGCATAAGCGTACATTTATGCCTACGTTACATTATGAAGAGATGTAGACAACAAATTATATATTGTTAATCATGAATTTTGCATGTAATCAAATCTACTACTTAAGCACACAATCTTAACCAAATTAACTTCCCAAATTTTGTCGATCACATTTATTTTTTGCAACCATTTCAGTCCCTTCAGCAAGTATCAGTTTAAACCTCCAATCAGCTCGATATGAATGTAAGTGTTTTGAAAATAAAACATAACTGCAACTATGAATAATATTATGTTATTATAATAGGAGTGAGTCACCCATTTAACCTGCAACAACAATGTATCCAGCGGCATGGTCCCATATCTTTTCTCGGTAACCTTTTCGAGGGAACCTCATATATATCGCCCCATCTCCTCTAGACAAAGCTCCATACTTTGCTTGGCTATCTATCCTGACGGGTTCGGCTTTAACACCAAGTTTCTGAACAATGAATAACAACGCTAATAAGGGGTTTATTTTTTATTTTTTCAAAGGGTGGGACATGGAGAATGCATGTGTTCTTTTACCTTTGCTATCAAACTAGATAAGTCATGTGAAGAATGAGCTGCTTCGTAAGATTCGAAAAACGATGCTTCTTCAGTGTTTTCAGTAGCACTAACATGTACCTGAGAAGGAAATAAGAAAGTGCCACATTTAGTAATAGAAGTTTTTTAGAGTTGGGGCAAAGAAGATACATACCTTTGTAGGTAGGGAGCCATCTAAGCTTTGCATATATGTTCCGGCACCAATTTGGGCGGAAAATAGACAACCGGTCTTATCTTCGGAAATGTTTGGATCATGTCTGGCAATAGACGTGAAAGGAAGATTTGGACAGGCTAACACTCCCAGCACAACTTTCCCTTCATCTAGTAATGCTAAAGCAATGGCATATTGATCCCCTCTTAAAAAGCTGCATCTCCAAAACACAGCGCATTATTGCAATCTAGGATTTTATGTTTTATTAAACCACACAATGCAGTTCATAGCTAGAATGAAGCACAGAATGTTCCAAATTGGGTACAAGTATGTTGGTATAAAAAAATATGGAATAAGAACTCTTGAAGCATAGGGTTTCAGGATATAACACGATCAACTAAGCACATTCAATTAGAAGTGAAGTTTTTGTTACGGAAGTGTGTTGTGTTGGAAAGATAGAAAGCTATTTGAGTAAAAAAAATGAGCAGCTTGAAAAGACGACACTTAACATTTGAGAGTATTCTATTATTGTTTTTAATGGAAGGTAAGACCAACTAAAACTAAGAAATAAAATAAAAAATAAAAATAATAAACAATCAGGTGTCTTAAAATTTACTATTCAACCAACAACTGATATTATGTGCCACCTGAAGAAGTATGCTCCAGGGATAAGTGCTGCAAGTAATTAACATATCATTGAATTCTAGATATCAAATATTAGGCGTTGATGTGGAAGAGTCAAACAAGATAAGATTAGTATGACCTCAAATTCTCATAATCCAAGAAGGGAACCTACTCACAGAGCAATTGAAAATAGCAAAAAATGTGGATCAAGCACAGAACTAGGTATGACTCATAGACATACCCTTTAGTGCCATCAATCGGGTCCAGAACCCAATGCTGACCATAAGGCCCCCCTTCAGATTTTCCATTGTCAATAGCTATAAGCACTTGTTCCTCAGACAAAGCTGGCAGCCCATCACTAGCTAGGGTCTCATTCACGAGTTCTGTTGTGCGATGCAGAGTTTCTCTGGATTCTTCTTTGCGAAGGTCCCCAGAGTCCTACAACACTCAAATCAATCTTATTGCCCCCCACAGAAAGAAAGCCTAATAAGTGGGAACTAGAGATCACTCTTTTAGAAGTTATATTTGTCCACATTGATTAGTTACTAGGTTGTTAGTGTGTATAAGTGAATTGAGCAGCCTATCCCTTTGAGCTAGCTTTTGGGGATGAGTTTCCCTAACCCATTTGTCATGGTATCAAAATACCCAAGTTGTTAGTTTGGAGGCAATGTTGAGTTTGGACCTAAAACCCATTTAATTTGGCACGGTACACGTAATGACAGGTGTTATAAGTTATATCTGGCCCACATCGATTAGTTACTGTGGCTTTTATTGAGTATAAGTGTGGATTGGGTACCCTCTTCCTTTGAACTAGCTTTTGGGATGAGTTCTACTCAGACCCATTTATCACACTCATTAGGAGAAAAAAGGAGAAAAAGTAGAGACAAAGGAACATAAAGTATAACACTTGAAATTGAAAAAATTAAAAAGTGAGGTTTGTTCGGAGCCCATGTACGTAATAGTAAGCTTGTTCGGAGCCCAATGAGTCGTATGAATACCTCTTCAGCTACTAATGAAAATGGAACTGACTGGAACTCTTTCTCGAGAATAAAGCTAACAATGGCCTGTGAACCTGTAGAACACGTACAACTACACAAGTTCAAATTAATTCAGACTGAAGCTATAATCGCATGATGAG